AATGAGTAACTGATTCGACTAGTAATTTAATTTACAATTTTTGATCAAGTCTAGTTGTAAAATGTTATGAAATGTTATTGAGGGCAAATAAGACAAATGGGTCTCATTTCATCATCATTAGAAGCTCTGGTGAAAACCTTCAGTTTTCGATCAATAGAAGAGACGGCGAAATATTCAACATTTAATGAACCAAGTACTCCGTTAATTATCTGAAGTTCTGCTTCCCATTACATAACTGTAAATGCGTTGAGAACGCACGAGAAATAAGAAGAACGCTTTAAAAAGTAGTCAAGTACAGCCAGCTAACGTCAAAACCAGAAAATGAGAACGCCATAAAATGGTCATCACTTCTGATCAATGTCAACGGTATAGCGCTTAGGAAAATAAAACATCTGGAGTATAATAAATGCTAGTGGTAAAATGGCAAAGTGTCTAGAAATTTAGGTGGCAGTGGACGAGTTTTGAAATAACTCAGCAGCATAAATGTAAACCCAGCGCACACATCAACTCACTTACTCTGCGTGGACGCAGTAACCTTGACCCAAAGAAAAGCAACAGCAACAAAGCAAAAAGCTAATTGCAAGCTGGTCTTTTTTGCTCCGAAATGGAGTCAGAGCGATCAACTTCGCCGTTGGAGCCTCAAGGGAGCTGATGAATACTGCAAAATGATGAGAGTAAGTGAATCGCTTACCACTATTTGTATTCAGATGAATTTTGTTTTAATGAGAATCGGCCAAAAGCAAAATAAGACCCTAAAACTTAACTGCAGGAAGTTCCAGGTGTTCCAATAATATTTTGGAACTTTATTGAAAGAGTAAGATGTAAATCAAAGAGAGTAATAAATTTCTTTTAATTAAATAAAAACTCCCTAAAACCGGATAGCTTTAAGAAAGATTCATCTTCTCTACATAAAATTTATAATGGTTAAAATAAGTTTAAAAGCTCTGATCTATAGTATAATGAACTCTTAGTGCTTTAAATTAGATGATATATAATATAATCATGGTACAACACAAAATTATAGATATCAGCTATGTAGAAGCCTCAAATAATATCATGCAATCGATTCCGAAAAGTGATCTCCATCAATCGCTTAAAAGTTTCACACTTACTTGTCCTATAGCATAAAGACAAATACTTTATTGTTTGAAAAGCTTACGCCGAAACTCAAATTTTATTTGAGAAAAAAACCGAGATTTTTTGATTCGTCACTGTAGAGGCCATTGAGTAAGTCAAAGAGAGGCGAGAAAATAGAAAGTTACCTGTAAGTTGGAAAACTTGCAAAGCACGTATCATCGAAATTGTAGTATATATATTAACAATTTATGTATGGCGAGATTATAACAGAAACAAGTAAAGATGGGCTAAATTCGGGCGGAATCAAATATTTTATACTTTGCAACTTTCAAGATTAAATTTCAGTGAAATACCTTAAGGTATTCCAACCGTCAACCAGAAAATCGGAATTCAATCAACTATAGTGATAGCATCGACCCTACTTAATCTATTTTTGGCAATACTACATAACAATAAGATGCCCATAAAAAATTTCCAGAGATCCATTAAGGTAGCTCACATGTCTTAGAGAGCAAACCTGTTTGTTAATGGGTCAAGTTGTCTGCCAATTTAATCCGTTTTAGGCACAAAGACACACTGTTATCAGTAAAACACACTCTACCAATTTCACAAAGATAAAGTCACTTGGAAGTTCGAAAATAGTTGCATTGGGTACATGTCTGTCTAACCCGTATTTTCACTCATCACGGTCCAGCAGCTTAAATTTAATTAAATATCAAAAGTAACAATAAGCGAGTCTGGGTGGTCTCGCTTACTTAACATAAACAAATAACCAATAGTCAGTATAGATAAGACTCTGTTCACCACAAAAATAGCTTTAAGCCGATTCCGCAATAATGAAAACGTGAACTCGCAATTCTGTGTTTGCATTTAACTTATTAGGAATTTGTGCCACAACTATTTGACTAACTTTACTATATATTTATCTTCAACTCTGTAGCAAAATCTTGCAAGAATATAAAAAAACCACTGAATAAATACAGAATGATTTGCCAATAACCACGATTTTGCGCTCTTGCAGTAGTCCTGCTTCTAAAGCATGCACGCTTCCAGAGCTTTTCCCATAAAGATTTTTTCCGAAGATAAATTAACCTTTTCTTTATACTAATATCCACATACAAACATACGTATATAAAAGTATAAACATAGAGATTGTATAAATCCGGTACAGTAATTCAGATAGAATCGCAATCCCTAAAAATTGTGTTAAGAGTCAGACGTCGCCCATAAATTTGCTGCGAGTACTCCTACTTTGCTTGCTCATAGTACACACATACACATGCATTATCTTCAATTACACGTTTCCACACATATGTACTCACAGGCATTGTATATATTTTCCCATTTATTTTATAAATATTTAGTAATTATCAGAATTTATGTACAGTTTGTGTAAATATTTATATATGGCTGGTGGAAGAACAACAACAAATACTTTCTTTTTACTCCTTTTCCCGAAAGTAAACAACACGCATTGTTCCCAACTAAATAACAGCAGCGAATCAGACTAACAAAAACTCAAACAGACACAAATGTTAATATTTGCCATTAAAATATTTAAATAGAGAACCCAGCAATGGCACGAGCAACATTAGCGACCACAACAACACAGACGCACAGTCCTGTGGCTGCACGAAAATGTTGCTCATACGCTCCTGCCCACCAGCGGATAGCACACCGAAAACTAATTCTAATACAATAACTAATTCAAATAAACAAATAAAAAATTAGAATTTTGAACTTTTATGGTTGCCTTAAATAAACTAACTAAACTTAATTACTAATACTATTTTTAGCTGACAAAGCACTGGTTAAAATTAATAGCATATTAGTATTTAATAACAGCTTGATATATACGAGAGATTTTACAACTTTAAAAGTCACTTAAATTCTTTTCACCCTGCAGGCAGACGAAACACCACCGCTTGGATACCAAGCTAACTCCTTGGTTAAGCTATTTGCCGCCATCACATTTTGGATGCAATCACGAGACCTCAAAAGCTCATATTAAAATGCTTACATGTCACATGATAAAGAAAGTTGCTTGGCAACTTCGAATGAAATAGGATCGGGTGTAATTTGAGTTTAGATATCTGGCTACTGTTCAGTTGAGGTGAATAAATATATGTGTTCCTGTGGGGATAAGTAAGTTCATCTGGTATCTTTAATAAAGCTGTTAAGCTAAAATTCGGCTTTCTTAATATTTCAGCAATTTTACTGCTTCCGTGCCCTTTTTAGCGAAAATTTGTTGTTGGCGAAAAAGACGTAACATTTTACTCGGATCTTCTAACACCTGCATCTGAGGAAGAAGACCAGACATAACTGTGAAGAAGTGAAGTTCATTGAGTTTATTATTCCATAAGTAAAGTAGAGGAACCGTTCACGCTTCACTGTGGCTGATACATAGATAATACTACTACTACCATCTATATGATTTCTATTAGTTGGATTATAACTATTAGTTAATGAGATGTAGCATTTATGTGAAGCAACTTGTGTTGGTTTCCAAAAAAATTGATCATAAAGCATTTCATGTGTTAATAAAGCATTGATTTTTGGGGGAAAATACTGTTGAATTTTCAGCCACCGATGAAAAGATACATGCTAAGCTTAAAGAGGCGAAACAAAAACAACGAATAACTGATTCTGAGAAGTATCTAAGCGCTCTTTAATCGTAGTTTATATATATAATCTATAATCTATATCTAGCAATTGTATTATTTTTGAGGTAGAATCTGTGAAAATTGTACGCAAATATTCAAATGATTCCCACAAACATGAATTTTGAACAAATGCTTATTATTTGAAATATAATTTTTGTATGTATGAGTTGTATTAAATTTTAACATAAAGCGATAAAAAGTATCCTATTACCCTAGTTCTAAGCTACCTCCTGACCCTAACTGAAGTCGTAATAATAATAAAATCTCAATGAGTACAAGTTTACTTCCTTTGATAAAAAAAAAGACGAAAAATAGAACTCCAGGTAAGAATAAAATGAGGACTAAGATCAGGGGTTAATGACATTGCTATAAGTTCAAGGGAAATGGAAAAAGGAGCTTGAAACAAGTACTTCAATTATTAATTTTGATTGGAAATATTAACTTAACTGTATCCACTTACATTCAGGCTCAATTTTCAAACCAAGAATTATATTTTTTGCGTTCACAAATAAACACACGCATGTGATTATTCACAATGAATATTTCAATACTATGTGTAGCCGCGGAGAGACTAAGTTTCACTGCGCTCGCATAACATGACTGGAAAAATACCAAATGTTTGAGTGAAAAAAGATAGTCGAGAACTTAACATAACATAATACGCAATATTTAGTTTTTCATCTGCAACTAGCCACTTTGCTTTTTCGTAATATTCTTTTTCCTTTCGATTGCTGGACAGCTCTAGCTCCTCCCATACATATGTTATGTGTTGGCATCATTCATGGCTTATAATCAACAGAGTAAACACTATTAACAGCCGACGGCTCTTCGGTGTTGAATAATTCAAGATCTGCAGAGGGTTGGCAGCACATGTAAGAGAAAATACATCCATGCAACCAAGTGCAACCATACTGTTGTTAGTATTATTTTCTATTTCACATCCACTTCCTTATACTGAGAAATCAGCACAGGCTTTTGCTTTATATTCTAAATTGATTCAGAAAGCTTTTAACGCGATTATGAGGCATAATGAGTGTTGATTTTTAGTTTGCTTGTCAGCAATTTGCGCAATTTGTGAAAGTATAATTGAAAAGAATTTTTATCTGCGCTTTATTCATATGTCAAATATTATGTGGATGCATAAATCGAAGATTGCCTTTAGTTAAATTGCTTTGCTTCGCTGAGGGATACTGATGTGGGTACAGAAGAGGCGTGCCAAGGTAAGGAGGCATAATACGAAAACCAATAAGGCAAACAGTTATTGAACGAAGGATTTTTTCTTATTTCATACAACTTATTTTTCTGACCAAAAAATGCCGAAAATTTTACCAAAAATGAGATTTTTTGTTCAAAGTCCGAAAGGTTTTGTGTTACAAGAATACGATCTATAGAAAACAATTTATATATATTTGCATGTATTCATGGATATGAGAAAATTGCGCTGGCTTGAAAGAAAATAAATTTCACTAGCTAGTTTGTATTTTTTTTCCTTAAAAAAAAATTATTTTTACTCTAAACCTAAACAAATTTATGAATATATTTACGAGTAAATTCCATAACTCTGTCATAAATATGGGAGTGAATAATGCTAAACTATTATTTTTAGTATTTTATTTTATTTATTTATTTAATTTTTTATTTTCATTTTTGGAATAGAAGACTTAGACCATTCGAAGTTTAGTGGTATCACTAAGAGCAATTACAATTACTATTTACATAACTATTCATTTTTGAGATTCAAGAGTGCGCAAATGCACAGCTGTGTTTTAGTCTACTACTTTTACAAGGCTTTTCCTATGCTTTCTCTTTCTTCCCCCTTTCACACTTAAAGACTACTTTGCGGTTGTGGCTTTTGCTACTACAGCACTTGCACTGTTATTTGAATGTCGACACTATAGCCCCAGGCATCGTGATGGTCGTGTATTTTACTTGATTCATAGTGTTGTTGTTGGTTGGTTTTTGTACTAAAATTAGCAAACTTATGGCTGCTTACGTGGTTAAACGCACATGTTGAGTGCCTCTGCAGGCTTACAAATGGCTTTAAGTATAATTATGTGACTAAGTGAAGAGGCAAGAGTGTTTTCAAGTTGCAATTGTTCCGTAAAGTTTTGGTGGTTTATGGTTGTGAGGTTAATTTAGGCTACATTTTAGGAATTTCTAAAGGGAAAGTCTAGCAATCAATTGACACTAAAGTTTTTTAAGATCTTATCTAAATTTATTGGTGGATTTTGTGTAACTAAAGAACAATTGCAGATTAACATTTCAAACAGGATTTCACATTAACTCCGTTTTGAGCGGTGTACCTTTAGCGTATGAGCGACCTGAAATGAGGGCTCATGTAATTCTCAGAAACTACACTTAGTCAGCATGACGTAAACTCCCTACTGCTCCCTAGAGGCAGACTAAGCTATACCGCTGCTGTTTTGTTGAATACATTAAAGCTAAGTCAGTACACGAGAGCACTTTTTGAAAGAAAGTGACGCACGTATTCACACTTAACTGCGAATTTAGAAATGTTGACTTATAGCAAAATAAGAGTAAACGTTCTGGAAACTTAATAAAAACCAGTTTCAAAATGCCTTAATCATAGCAAATGGGATTGAGGTGTATAAATTCGTAATGCTGGGTAATCCATTCAACCTGCGCAATAAAATGGTTTCCAAAAAGTTTATTGTTGCTAATTTACACTAATTTTGAATAATTTTAACTACGACTATGTGCTTTACCATAACCAATCGTCATGCTCTTTGTGCTAACGGCAATTTGTTGAACTCAATTTTACATTTGTTCGAGAACTATTCTTAAGCCAATAACTCATTGACAAAGAAATTTACAAAATAGCAAATTTTACAGAGAAAGTTGGTTACATACCTTGTATAAATGAAAATAAACACGCATTTGTAGTTCTGTAAGTACTGGCATCGAATTTGCCAATGGGTCCATGAGTAACTTGTGCACAATTAAGCAAAACTTTTGTCGAAATCCCTGTAGAATTATTGCAGAATAATTTGAGTTTCCTTCAACTAACTTTATTGTGCATTTGTGTAGGTGATTAGCAGTTCAATAAAAGAATTAAGGAAATATGTTGGTTGCCACATGTCTGAATGCATCTTAATCTACATGAGATTGCAAGTTGCTTAATTTGTAAAATGAAATGCACTTTGCTGAGATTCCCTCTGTTGTTTGGATTGTGCTAATTTTACTGGGAGCAAATAGTATGACATACGGAAAATAATTTCTTTTGTAGCAACTTGAACGTGACTGATATTACATTGTATGTATGCTCACTAAAGTAACAATTTAAGTAAGATACTAAAAAATTAAACGAAACACCCTTACTTTATCTTTAAATCCATTAGAAGTTTCTTTTTAGTTCAAAATATTTTTCTCACATATATGCCGATATTCACATAAGTATGTATAAGTACACGCTGGTTCTTGGAGTAAAACTCAGCCTTGGATTTTCAGATATCTGCGATTAATGCGCACAATCTGCGGCAGATGGCGAAAGCTTCAATCAAAAAACTATTTGCAATGGATATTTGTTTTAGAAAAAGACCACAGCAGTAGAACAAGCTGTTTTTAGTTTCTTTTCCGACGTGCTGTTGATTCTCATAATCGCTGCCCATGCAAATTTTGTGTTTGGGCCTAGTCGTGGCGAACAGAATCGGAATGCTTCTAAGAGGATGATTATTTGGTATAAGTATGGCCATGAAAAGAGACTGAGAAAAGGTCCGAGCCGTTTGCATAATCTGTAGTGTAGAAATTTTTTCTGAAACTCATTCCTTCAGTGCTGCTTCGCTTCTGCTCAGTTTTTTTTTTTTTTTTTTTTTTTTTTTTTTTTTTTTTTTTTTTTTTTTTTTTTTTTTTTTTTTTTTTTTTTTTTTTGCTTTGTTGCCAGCTCCCTTCATGCCTCTAGTGTGGGTCTAAATATGTTTACGCCGCCACTCATCGCATTATAGTGAGTAATGTAAACACCATTAGGGACTGACGGGTGTGCTGCAGCCGTTGACGTTGGGCCATGCAGTACATTTCGAATTTAAAAGTCCTTTCTACCGCTTTAATTTATGTGCGGTCATGAGTGTACATGTTTTAGATTTGTACGATTTTTAGGTGGCAGCACAGACATTTAAAGTTTAATATCCACTGACAACATAAACTTTAGCCCAACACATAGTGCTTGCATCATGTGCAACATACTGCTATTTTGCATTTAAGTTGAAGTTTTAAGCACATTCCCGCTTATTTTCCATTTATCACATTCGTAATCGCTTATTCCTCTCTGTGTTGTGCACTTTAGACCGAGGCACTATTAGTGAAATGGTTGAGTACAAAAACAATTGCCTCAACAGTAGTAACGGCAATGACAGCACGCGTCTGCCAGCAACAGATTACCTTATTAGTCGCCATGAATAGTACTAAAAATAACAAGTATTTTCCTCAGCGATTTTGATGCACTACATCGTCATATTTCACTCCACTTCCACTGTCAACTTTTGGCATAGCGGCCGCACTTTTTGGCCATTTTAAGTAATCATACTAGCTTTCGAATTCCCTTTGCATAGGTCAGCCTTGCCAAATAGTCGACCGAGACTTGCGATTGCCATTTTTGCTGGTAAATAGCACATTATTGGGAGTTTCATTTCGTTTAATTTGCCTTTGCCACCCCGATAGCGCCACGAAACGTCTTGCAATGAAATCGCAAATTGCAACAAATCCAAACACAAACCGATTGAATGCCCGTCGATCCAGAAGTCAGTGCAATATAGTT